AAATGATATTCATAGATTCATGAAAGAACGTTTACAGTGTTTGTTTTTCTGATGTCGGATTTTTGTATAATGTTGTTCACACATTTTGTGAAAGACATCAAGAATGTCAGTGAACGGTTTCAGTGTGCATTTACTCACACTGTTTCATTACACAGGTCTAGAGACTGGTCAGCAATACCTTAGTCAACCGACCATCGGTAGGGAAAAGTGTGTATTCTCTGACCAGCTGGGAGTGGATGCGTTTAGATGGATGTGTGAAATCAATAACATGGACTGTGCTGCACCATAAACTTCCTTGTAATTACATTGGTTGCTTGCAGACTGCTGGTGTAAACTGTAGTTTGCATGGAAGATGGCGACTCGTCAGCAAACACTTGCTAACTCGTGTGAAACTCGTATGATGCAAACTGGAAATGTTGAATGTTGCAGAGTGAAAGTTCGGCCTTACAGCTGAAACCAACATGTTTCAAAAGACACAACTTTTGCTTCGAAGGTGAACTGTATCTGTGTTCAGTTCGTGTCACACTCCTCATGGTTTAACTACAGTTTCGCAAGTAGTTGGCAGAAATGACGCCATATTTCAAACAAAGTACAGGAAACTGCATCAACTACAGCAATCTGCAGGCCACCAGTGCATTCGTAAGATGGTTATTGGTGAAGCACTGTATACCTCTTTGCAACCTAATCTCTCTACTTTTAAGATTAGGCTTCAAACTTTCCTTTTTGCTAAAGCATATAGTTAGGGCTGGACCAGGTGACCCTGAATCCTCCCTTAATTATGCTGCAATAGACGTAGGCTGCCGGGGATTCCCATGATGCATTGAGTTTTTCCTTTCCAGTCACCTTTCTCACTCACTATGTGTTAACAGACCTCTCTGTGTTGAATCATATCTGTTATTAACCTCTGTCTCTCTTCCACAGCATGTCTTTATCCTGTCTTCCTTCTCTCACCCCAACCAATCACAGCAGATGGCCGCCCCTCCCTGAGCCTGGTTCTGCCGGAGGTTTCTTCCTGTTAAAAGGGAGTTTTTCCTTCCCACTGTCGCCAAAGTGCTGCTCATAGGGGGTCATATGATTGTTGGGTTTTTCTCTGTATCTATGAAGCGCCTTGAGGCGACTTTTGTTGTGATTTGGCGCTATATAAATAAAATTGAATTGAATTGAATTGAACCAGTTTCACCTACCAACAAGAAGAAACTACTTCCAGCAACTACTGGTCAGGGAATGGTCTCATTCTTCCTTAGTGACCAGTGGTTATCACTGACCAGTCTCTAGGCATTGTGATTTCCAGCAGCTACCTGCAACCTGCTGAAAAATACTTGTTTTTCCCAGTGATCCGTGGTTGCTGACTGGTCTGCAGGCATGTGGTTCTGGGTTTTATGGGGTTTGATCGGTGGATATCGGTTTTATATTGACTCTTGACAAATGATTGAAATAAAAATGTGAATATTTTGCTTTAATTATTGAAAAAGACAGTTAAAAATAATCCAGTTCATTTTTCTATCTTCAAAATGACCAGGAGCAGTGGTCAGCTCTTGGGTGGTACTGATGACATGTGTCTGCATTTACTCGAGTATGTCTACATCGGGTTATTAATGGTGCAATCCATGTCTGGATTATAAATACAGCAGCAGTGACCGTAATAGTCCTGCTGGGGTTCATGTTGCTGTGAGCACAAAAGGGACTTAATCAAGTCTGTGCTCTTTCCCCTCCAACACCGAATTCTCAAGAGGAGTCTTTTAATTGCAGCAAGTAATTCACCAAGTGTTCATCAGACCTTTCTGATTAAATTTCAGGTCAACAGACTACGGAGCAACGTACCAGAAGCTGAATGACAAAGTAGGAGCAAAGACGATACTGAGTTATTTGTACGTGAGCCCCAACAACAAGAGAAAGGTAACGGTCCTCTTTTGTCATTTCTTCTGAATCCAATTTTAAAAATTGTCTTGACTGTATGAGTTGCTTTTGTTTGCTCCTCACTGTTGGCATGACGGTCACACAGTATGCAGTATTGAATGCAGGCAGACATATTGATGTCGTTTGACGCACTGGTCTTGGTTTGATGTCCGTCTCTCCTCTGTCGCTGCCTACAGTCTCAGTAAGAAGCACTGGACTCACTCGTTTATTAACAAGTTCAAACCCAAATGACAGTTAGCTGACAGAAAGGAACAATCTCTCCCAGCTCTACATGGATATAAATCAATTAGAAGTCAGACAACCCCTTCAATCAGTGCCCCTGCCCTTCCTTTGGTTTGAGTCATTTGATGGTATTAACCACCTGCCTGTGTTCACGCTTTACATGACTCCCTTTACACAACTCTAATCAGGACGTTTTTCAGTTAATTACCGTCTAATTATGAAAAGGGAATGCAGCCCCAATTCAGTTCAGATGCTGGCCATATGATATAGGTTGTCGGGCAGTGACTGTTACGCCCCTGAGGTCTGTTAAAGGTGCTGAACCAGATGATGAGATGATGAACCTGAACTCGTAGAGAGACATCCAGGACTCTGCAGAAAGGCTTGATTGTCCTTCTGTTATCGTCAGCAAAGCATTAAGAGACTTTTTCTGACTGTGGGATTTTCTACAGGATGATTTAGTGAGACATGTTTGAGGAAAACAGCTACAGATCAGTCTGTCTTTGTTAACACACAAAGCTGGGGAGTCTGGAGACAATCTGCAGGATATGACCCCTGCTCCACCAGAGAAGATCTCTTTATACTGTATATGAAAACTCCTTCACCAGAATTACCACTGGTGAGGATATTCTCCTGTTTTGGACACTCAAATAAAACCCTTACAACATAAATACTCCGAATCCAAAAAATAATAATAATTCAGCATAGGGCTGGGCGATATGATCTCGATATTTTTTACCTGGACGGCGATATAAGATATATATCTCGATATTTTTTTTTAAAGCCATAAAGTAAGAACAAAAAGAGAGTTCTTAGTCAAAGCTGTGTCCCAGATGTCACACAGGCACTTTTATTAACATAGAGCATAGATGTACATAAAATTTACTCAAAAATAAATTATGAGCATTTATTAAATAATAATGCTCCATAAATAAAAGAAAACAATGTTGTTTTTGTGCATAACAAAAAGCTCACAATTGTGCAGTCAAAATGTAAACTAAAAGACGCAGAGCATAGTAACAAAGACAGATTTCACAGCTGCTCTGTTCCCAACTTCTACTGCGTGACTGACAGCCTGGAGTTTGAAATCCTCTTCATAACCACGTCTCTTAACAGGTGCCATTTATGGTCCTTACACACACAATACGGTAATATTACGTTGAAGCACAGTACTTATCACTCCGCGAGGCTCCTTGGTAGCCGTAATGCTCTGACAATCCATCAACCGGTGCAGCACCGTAGCTTACCAAAGTCGTACTAAAACATTTTTTGACAGATTGCTGAGCGCTGTGTACCACATAAAATCGGTTCGCGGCCATCAAGCCCAACCAGAATTCATACATAAGGCGCGCTGTCAACTTTTGAGAAAATGAAAGGATTTTAGGCTGTGCAGCGCCTCTGGGCTGCATGGCGTTAGCGTGGTTAGCGCGTTAGCGTGGTTAGCTAGCTAACACGTTGACGGCGTCCAGCGATGCACAGTAACTCGTTAACGGAGATTTGCCATGTCCATCTTGTCGCTTCCTGCAGGTGAAGCGATGGGGGAGGAGGGGGAGTTGTGTTCAGTGAAGGAGGGGCGAGGCCGAGTAATGTTGCGTAAAGACAAAAGTGGACGAAAGAGAGGCAAACTTGCGGCTCCACAAGTATAGTTATAACGTAACATAGACTATATCGATATAAAGGATATTGTCACATCTTATATCTCGTATAAAAATATATCAATATTTTTTAAAAACTCGATATATCGCCCAGCTCTAATTCAGCATCTAGTTTCTGAGAACATGTTGCAAAAAGCAACCTCAATACTAACCCTAGACACCTCACCATTGACCTGGCACATGCTAGCATGTAAAAAGCCCAACCTTTCATTCTAAAACCCACTGTCATCTACAGGTTGGTCTACAGTGGCAACAAAAGAACCGAAAATCTTAGAAATCAGAGTCTGAGAATTGCAGCTTATGACTTTTATCAAAATATCTTCAGGCTATGACTTCCTGTTGATCAAGTGATGCTCCAGAAAAACAAGTTTATCATATTCTGTCCTAAGATCTCTACATCCCACAGTCCATATCTCGGCTTGTCTTCGTGTTATATAGGTCAATATGAGAAATGACAGCATTTACAGACAGTTTTTGCAACCTTACACTTTTAAACGATCGGTGTAGAAACTCATCATCGTGGAGTAAATGTGATAATTGGCTTTCCCATTTTTCTTTCTGCTTCAGAGATGCTGGAAATTTCCAGTGATACCGTTTGACTAGATGTCATCTGTCTACCCCTCTATATCTGCAAAATTCAATCAATACTGATAATCACAGCAAAACAGGAAATTCTTACTGACCACAATACTTAATCAATGAAAGACACAAAAACTGGGAAAAGAAAATGTGGTCCAGGAATAAGGAGAAATTTTAGCTTTTCATCTGATGTTATCAATCAGGCATACGCAGTATATAGTACCTCAAATGAAAAGCCCTTTGCCAGAACTGTTGCATTGCCTTCTTGCAAAAGCAAATGATTTGTCCTTGCAGCCCTATGCGTTGTAATTGTTTTTTTCAATAAAGTCAACCAAGTCGAATACATTCGATGGGCCTAGTTTTTCCTATAAAGAGCTGAGTTGCTTTATCCCTTTAAACGTAGATGATGAACTGAAGCTGAACGTGGATGTTTTCAGCCTAATCATTAGGAGCTGCTTGGTTATAAATCATAGGTTTTCTCAGCTGATTTGGGTTGGATGGGGTTGCTGAGGCAAGCTCTCTATGCAGGCTTAAAATACATTAGAGGCAGCACATCAGCAAATGGTCAGAGTTAACCACTTTTCTGTGCTCAGGTCCATTTGGGTCAATTTTGCCAGGTTCCATTATGGCTTTGGTCCATTAGGGTTTTGGGCATCTCTGATTGTGTGTTTGTGTATTTCTATGTTTTAAATTGTGTTTTGTCCATGGCTATTTTGGGTTTATGAAACACCATAATTAATCCACACATTCTTGTCTTTATTTGTCACATCCATCTAAATGTTAGTGTACTTGGAAACACTGGACTAGTGATTACCGTTTTAAGTTCCCCATTCTAAGCATGTCTGTTTGGGACTTTGTTTAAGCTGTAAAATCTCTTCTTCTTGCATGTTTGTATTATTCATGCTTTTACGATACATATTTGGCCAACTATGGAGTCTTTATGACACGCCTCTTAATTGCATCAAAATGAGTGGCAGACTGGGGTAGAAATGTTCGTATTAGCAAGGCTATCTTCTGTTTTATTGCTTGTAGAGTGATGGGATCTGGGTAAACCCAAAGAAGATGTCTCTAATGATGCATCAATGCAGAGAGACAGAGAGACATCACAGAAACATTTCAGTCCACAGAAACCAGCAATCACCAGTTTCACAGAGCAGAAAATTTGATGAAGGCCAGCAAATAACTCGACATGTTGCTAATGTCACACACACACTGAGACACACTTTCTACCACATAGCCAAAATGACAGTCAGCCATACAAAGCATCACGTGCCAGATACACACAAACATGAGCCTAAATAAGCACAAAGTCACGCATTCATATATTCTTCTCACACATCCATGGTGTCGCCAAAATATGACGTGTAAAATAAAAATGCTACTGAAAGCATCCTTGTCAGTCTATAGAGAGTTTGTTACATGCAAAACTTACTAGTAATGTTGAGCAGAGGAAAACTGACTTGGTAAACTAGGCTTTGTGTCATCTGCGAGATGTAAAGAAGAATTGGAGAGCAGTATGCTCATTGTGCTCATCGACAATGTTAGGCAAGCTGAGGCTAGCAAAACACATCAAATTCACTTTTTATTTGTCAATAATGTAACATAGAATTCATAAGTGAATGGCTTAAGACTATAGATTTATAGATTTAGATTGTATAGACACTCTTTAGCCCAAGCAATGGGTGTTGGACTTTATTCTCCTTGAAATAAGGAGACTACACATTTATAGAGCATATCTATAAGTTTTTAATCAGGAACTGAAGATTTTCCAACATAATTGTTAATTGGGAACAAAGAAGTAGGAGAGTTTTACACTGCATTTCTGTGGGAACAATCAGTGATTCAAACTGGATTCCACATAAACTGTTTGTTCTGCTGTGTGTTTGCTCACTTATCCAACTGGGGGTCATGGGGGGATTGGAACCTGTCCTAGCTGCTGTAGGCAGGACAGGTCACTGACTTGATGCAGGGATAACACAGAGAGACAAACTACTATTCAAAAACATACACATGTATGCACAATTAAGAACTAGATGTCTTTGGACTGTTGAAGGAAGCTGGAGTACTCAGAGAGAACCCACTTGCACATGTAGAGAAAATGTAATCTCCACGCAGAAAGGCCCCAAAAAATATTCTTTCCAAGAAAATCATAATCTAGTGGGTTATTAAAAGTTTCTTATATCACACATGGTGTTACTTGTAACGCGTTACTGTAATCCGATTACTTTTTTCAAGTAACGAGTAAAGTAAGGGATTACTATTGCAAAAACGGTAATTAGATTACTGTTACTTTCCC